TGGTTCATGACACAAGTCCCCTCAGCAAAGCATCACGTGGCCACACCCTTCGTGTTCTCTCCAAATGCAGGTACTCATTTCTTACAGTATGGATAGGCCAAGAATTTCCCAAATCTTTAAGTTCTGGCTCCTTTTTTGCTTAATCCGTCTTCGTGGTGTTTCTCTCCTCTCTTGTTTTACTCTAAGCAGTCGGGAAGAACGAAGCCACCCTCAACAGTTTGCTTAGAAATCTCTTCAGCTAATACCTGGTGTCGTCATTCGCAAGTTCTACCTTTCACAGAACACTACGGTGTGAGCACAGTTCAGGCAAATTATTTGCCCCTTTATAACAAGGATTGCCTTTTTCTCTATTACCCGGTAACTGGTCTTCCTTTCCATCTGAGAACTCGTCAGAATGGCCTTTACTATCGAATTTCTATTACCATTCTTTTTTTTTTTTTTTTTTAATATTTTTATTTATTTCTAGGAGAGAAAGAGACAGCGTGAGCAGGGGAGGGTCAGAGAGAGAGANAGGGGAGGGTCAGAGAGAGAGAGAGACACAGACTCTGAAATAGGCTCCAGGCTCTGAGCTGGCAATCAGCACAGAGCCCGACGCGGGGCTCGAACCCACGAACCGCGAGATCATGACCTAAGCGAAAGTCGGACGCTTAACCGACTACGCCACCCAGGCGCCCCTCTGTTACCATTCTGTTCTCAATTATGCACATTCTCTAAGAAGACAGAAGCTTTCTCTCTAGTTCTCTTTTTTCTTTCTGAGCTTTCACCAGAATTTCCCTTTGAGGGTCCATTCGCAGCGGTCTGGGCTTTCTCCCACACGCAGCCCAGAACTCTCCCAGCCTCTGCCCCCTGCCCCGTTCCAGAGTCACTTCCTCGTTCTTAGGTATTTGGTACAGCAGCACCCCGCATCGTGGTACCAGGTTCCTGTGTTAGTCCATTTGGGCTGCTGTGACAAAACACCACAGACCGCCGGAGCCTGAATAGCATTGACTTCTCATGGCTGTGGAGGCTGGGAAGCCCACAGTCAGGGACCAGCACGGCTGGGTCCTGGTGGCACCTTCTTCCAGGTTGTCACCTTCTCACTGTGTCCTCATGTGGCAGAAAGCAGAGCTCAAGCTGTCTGGGGTCTCTTTCCTCAGGGCCCTGATTCCGTCCGTGAGCCACCCCACCCTCATGACCTAATCCCCTCCCAAAGGCTCCACTTCCAAACACTTTGGGAATTGACTGCAACATAGGAATTGGGGGCGGGGGGACACACATTCAGTCCATAGCACCTGCTTCTCGTCCCAAGTAGAAGAAAGTTAAGTGTCTCATCAAAGCTGGATACTTTCACTGCCCAACCCCTGGCAAGTAATCCCATTTTTAAAATGTTTTCTGACTGAGATTAGCAGAATTGAAACTGAAAACTGGGGCCGGCGCTTCTGAGGTGGCCATACAGCTCCGTACCTTCTCTCACACGTCATGGAGGATGAAACAGAATGTGCTTTACTCTCGGGGGTGACACTGAGTTCTCCTTTGGTTCCTGGTGGTTCTCACTGACCTCTGTAGGGTCAGAGACGGTGTGGGCCTCGTCTCTGAATCCTTGGTATCCATGCTCAGCCTGCACCAGGAGAGGTGCCTGGAAAGCAGTGGGTCTGATCAGAATCCGCACACCGCAGGCTAGGTGGCTGGGGGCGCCCTGTGTCCCTGAACAGCTAATCTCCCCTTTCCCTCAGCTGCGACCTCTGAGTTTTCCCAGATGGGTGAAGTGAGCCACAGACACTGACTTAGAGCCTCAGTGTTTGGGGTTTGTTTGTTTGTTTATGGTAACATTTTTTTCTTCAACATTAACATTGTCATGAGAAGTTTATACTCTGTTTACTCAATTGGGTACCTGTAAAAATATGAGTAAATTTCAGCAGCTATAGGTTTGGATTAGGACACTTTAAATGCCTTTCCCCCAGACTTTATTGAAGCATAGTTAACAAATACAATTGTATATATTGAAAACGTACGACATGAAGGCGAGCACCTGGGTGGCTCAGTCAGTTAAGTGTCCAACTCTTGATTTCAGCTCAGGTCATGATCTTAAAGTTCATGGAACTGAGCCCCGCATCTGGCTCTGCACTGACGGCATGGAGCCTGCTTGGAATTCTCTCTCTCTCTCTCTCTCTCTCTCTCTCTCTCTCCAAATAAACATTTAAAAATAATAATAATAAATAAAATATACAACTTGATGACTTGATACACATTATGGAATGCTTATCAAGCTCAAGATTATTAACACAGCCGTCACCTCACATTGTTAACTCATGTGTGTGTGATGAGGAAGCTTAAACCCCTCTCAGCAACTTTAAAATGTACGGCACTGTGCAGCTGTGGTCCCCACGCCGTGCATGAGGCCCTTAGAACCTGCTCATCTTACACGGGAATGTTTGTGCCTTTCAACCTGTCTCCCCATTTCATTTCCCTGGTTCTCCACACCCCTTAGCAACCACGGAAATCAGGTGGTGGTTTTGGTTTTTGTTTTGTTTTTTTTTTTTAGATTCCACATGTAAGAGATACCATATGGTATTTTTCTTTTTCTATCTTATTTCACTTAGCGTAATGCTCTCCTGATTCATCCATGTCGTCATAAATGGCAAAATTTCCTTCTTTTATATGGCTGAATAATATTCCTGTGTGTGTGTGACATTTTCTTTATCCATTCATCTGTCACAGGACACCTAGGCTGTTTCCATGTCTTGGCCACTGTGAATAATGGTGCAGTGAACATGGGAATGCAGATATCTCTTCAAGATACTAATTTCTTTTCCTTTGCATTATATACCCAGAAGTGGAATTTCTGTATCATGTGGTAATTTTATTTTTAAAATTGTACCCGTCTCCATTCCCAGTAATGATGTACAAGCGTTCCCTATTTTCCACATCCCCGCCAACACTTGCTATCTCTTGCCTTTTTGATAACGGCCATCATACCTGGTATGAGAAGATATCTCATTGGATGGTTTGCATTTCCCTGAGGATGAGCGATGTTGAAAACCTTTTTGTGTACCTATTGGCCATTCCATGAATGTCTTCTTTGGAAAAATGTCTATTCAGGACCTTTGCCCCCTTTTTAATTGGAGGATTTACTTTTTTGCTATTAAGTTGTATGCTTCCTTTACGTATTTTGGATATTAGCTCCTCACGAGGGGCTATAGATGGCAAATCTTTTCTCCCTTACTGTAGGATGCCTTTTCAACGTATTGCTTCTTTGCTGTGGAGAAGCTTTTTAGTTTGAGGCGGGCCCACTTATTGATTTTAGCCTTTGGTGCCTAGAGCTTCAGACGTGTTTTAGTTGTGGGGTTAGAGGAGAAGAGAGAGGGGATTATTAGCTACCTCTGCCAGAGGCATCTATGCTTTTACTGCTCTTCTCCTAACCCCCTGATCTTTTTATCCTCATTTTCCAGGCAGTACTGCACTGGCTGCCGGCATCTCTGACTCCCCGCCTGCCTTGGGGAGTTTGTTTGAAGGCCTGTCCTGCGGAATGCCCTGCTGCAGTACACTTCTTCTCTGCTCACTCTGTTCCTTTGAAAGTCCCCTAGTTCTTATTTCTAAGGTTAAATAGGCTCCCAGCAGTCCAAGAACTGTAGGTACAATAGGGAACACCGAGGGGAAATAATGGCTTACCTTATGCTGCCTGACTCAAGGGAATGGTTCATTTTGGCAAGAAAAATGACTTCCTAACACTCCCGATGAGTTTGGCATCTGTTATGGCTAAAGACATGCCGCCTCTCTGTACGTGTTAGTCTGCTCAGGGAAAAAGTAGAAGGGTTGGTTTGCAAAGTTCTGCAGCCTGGCGGTGGCATTGGGCTCCATTGCGATTAGGTGGCTAGATCTGACCTCTCCCAGCGGCTGCTGCTCTTTTCGGCCCCCGCCTTTTCGCTTTCTGGCTTCCAGCTTTGGCTTCCCTGAAGACTGTAACAAAATCAGTCTCTTTCTTACCGCTCACCCTCTGGTTTTTCACTTAATTTCACCCTCTGGTGATAATTTAAAAGCCAACAAGTTTAAAAGAATTTATTGTGGAAGGAAAAAGAGACTTTGGATGTTTACAACATACTACAGTATTTTATTTTTACAAAGCACAGATGCCTATATACAGCATGAATTATTAACCATAGTGTCATCTACCTTCATTTTGCAGGCACTTTTTATAGACAAGTTAAAAGAGGAAGCTCTTTGAGCCCTTTTCTTACAAAGTAAAAAATAAAAACAGATATATCTGTATTGACTGAACAGTTTAAGGCAGTTTTGTGTAAGCATCCACGAGGAACTTTCCCCACCTCCTGAAACTCCCCAGCCGCCACTAGACCCACTTGTGCCTTTCAACACACTGCACCCTGACCAAAGCCGGGCAGGGAGGTGCCAGAGGCCCCCCCTGCCAGGCCCGGGACCCCAGAGATCCCTCCTGGGTCAATCCACTGGCAACAGAATTATTTTCATCTTTAAGAAAAAAAATATGTAGACTGAAGGTAATTTCATTGGATTGGATTTAAAAATTGAAACTCCTTTCCTCCACCACTCTCTTTTCTGCCTTTCTCCATCGCCCAGGGCCTCTCCTCGAAGATCAAGATCACACAATTCTTTTTAGCCAAGGGGTCTATTTTCTGCCCTCACATAACCTAGGCCTTTGACTAAATAGACACAGTGATGTCATAATTACTTTCCTTTCACCGAAAAATCAAGTGGAAAGGAGAGGCTTTGAGTGAATACGGCAGAGATCAGAGGCACAGGGAGCCCACCTGGGCCAGCCCCCTGAGAAGTTGTGTGATGACCCATCGTGGTTAAATAACTCATCACACTTATGTAATGTCCTTGTCCTTAACAGTTTCATTGGGCTCCTTAGAGACGGACACTCATTGGAGATTCTAGGCTGTTTTCCATCCCTAACTTTTCTCTACTCCCTCCCTCCCCTTCCCTGCCCTCACCCAGCCTCCGTTTGTCCCCATTTCCCCGGCCCTGCCCCACTCCAGGCCCCCCACTCAGGGCTGGAAGTCTTCTGGGCGGATTTTCATCTCCACGCGCCGGAGGGAGTAGCTCGAGCCGTGCCAGCCGTACCACGTGATTCCATCCAGGTGCTTGTTGTGCTCCCCGAGGCGGTAGTAGACCCCATTGAGGTTGGAGTCTGTGCAGCAGTTGTACCAGTAGCCACCTGGCCCGAGAAAGAGATCGGGGGCCGTAAGCCCAGTTTGTCCCTGCCCCGGAAACGGTGGACAGATGGGCCGGGAGGATTGGCGGAGGGAGCCACTGCCTGAGCAGGAGCTCAGCGGTCAGGGCCGGTATCCACCGAAGTGCGAAAGCCAGGACGCCGGCCGTGCGGCTCTGCATCCAGCCTGCCCACCTGGGACACCCCCCCCCCCCCCCGCCCCCGCACCTCACCTTTGCGCAGCTGCGCGCATTTGTCCAGGCAGTTGTCATTGTCCTTGTCCTTGGTGCTGAAAGCCGTGTTGTTGTGATAGAGGAGGGCGTCGTTCCCTGCATCGCCGCTGTAGTTCCCCAGGAAGAGGCGGTAGCTGTTCAGTTCGTTGCCCAGAGCGAAGCGGCTGTACTCGGCGTGTCTCACGTTGCCCTCCCAGTCCTGTCGGGAGCAGGCGGAGCCTGAGAGGAGCTGCCACGGGGCTGCGTCTCCTGCCGCCGCCAGCCCCCCTCTCAGCGTGCAGCTGCGCGTCCTTTCACATGGGGGGGGGGGTCGGAGCCCAGGCTGTATCGTCTGTTCGCCTTTAGCTACCACACTAGGCTTGGGAGTCACAAAACAAGGATCCCTGGGCAAAGGTCCCTCCTGAGCCCCCATCTGGCCTGGATTAGCCTCTCTTTCTGCATCCTCCCTGCCCCGTCTGTCTGCAAGGTGTGGGTGTGTGTTTCCCCGTGTCCCACGCAGAGCCATTTGAGTAGGTCACGGGGCCTCCAGTCCCCTCACGACCGTCACCAGTCAATGTCAGAAAGGTCTGCACACAGAGGAGCTCAGGCCCCAGGCCCGAGCGGGGGCCACAGTGTTTCAGTACAGCTGACTGTTGGCGCCCCCGCTCCGGCCTGAGTCCAGCCTCTTGTGTAGCTGCAGCCTCGCTTTGGTGAGAAAACAGGGAAAAACCTCTTCTCCCTCAGCTGTCCGACAGCCTGCAGGAAAACCGGCACAGCAAGCACACAAGCCCATAGTCCGTCAGAGTGGGAAGGGCGCCCCCGGGTCGCACACGGTTGTGTGCGGCACCGGCTCCAGGCGCAGGGGCCTCACGCTCACCTCCATCTCCACGCGCAGCCGGGTTGGGCGCCTGGAGAGCCGATGGATGTGTTCGTTCCCCAGCCAGAAGTCCCCGCGGATGCTGCCGAAGCCCTGCTTGTACTGTCTCCAGTCCCGGAAGAAGGAGACAAGGCCGCTCTTGCGCCTCTGGATGGTGGTCCAGCCGCCGCCGGACGTCTCCATGTCACAGAACACCTGTGGCAGAGAGGATGGCCTGGTCAGCAGCCCACGGCGGCAGGAAGGAGAGCGAGGGTGGGCCTCGTCGCCTCCCTCCCGTTTCTGCAGGGCCGGTGGATGTGTGCGGGCTCACTCTGACTCTGCCCCAGTGTCGGCGAGCAGGAGCGGGGTGGTGGTTTGCTGAGGAAGAGGTGTCAAAGTGGAGGACGGGGCAAGCGCACATGTAGTTAGAAGAGAGGAAAATCTGGGTGCACTCTCTATGTGTTCTCTCTTTCCCCTTCTCCCAAGATTAACTCTCTAGGTTTGGCAAGGCTCATCAGCAAGTTGGGTGGTTATAGAATGATCTGTGTCGGAAGATTTGGCGTTTGGTCGGTAGTGACTTGAAGGGACCAAAGAGATGCTGGGGGAGGGGATTGCCCCCACAAGTTGAGCGTGTGGCTAGCTCTCTGATATTCAGTGTGTTTGATTCTCTGTCTTGAGTTTCCCATTCTCTAGACCGTGACCGGTCCTGTGGCCCCCAGCTGTGTGAGGGGACGGGGGACAGGTAGAACCTGGGCAGTGGGCTCTGGCGACCTCACCTCCAGCTCAGGGCTGCCCAGAAAGTCATCAGGAGGAAGCTTGTACACTCCAGAGATGCGGTAGTTCTTCTGGTAGAGGGACGAGCAGTCATAGATGGCGTCTGCAAGAGGAGCAAACCGCAGGAGTGAGTGCCCAAACCCAGGGGCTCCGCGGTAGGTGGGCATTCGTGCTCTGCCTCTGTTGGAAGTTTAAAAATTGAGACTTCATTTCTACCACGAAATTCACAGGAGTGTTCATTACCAGGCAATGTCTGGGTTTTGGAGGTGGGTAGCCATTAGGTGACCAAAAGGGGGTGTATTTTGGCTTTGTTGGTGTTGGGGAAGCCCTCACCTCACATGGATAGCAGCAGCAATGAGACCAGCAGAGAGGTGGTTTCAGGTTAACCCCAAAATAGATCATCCTGCTGAGTTCTAGGCCGTGAACTCTGGGAACACCATGGGATGCGAGGGCCACATAACAGATGCGCCTGTTTAGTAAATTTCACTTCTGGGACCACTAGCGTCTCTTACCACATACATCATGAGCATCTCATAGGGTCTGGTTTTGTTGTTTTCTTGGTTTGTCTGTTTGGGAGTGGGGGTGGTTTTTCAGAGGGAATGGCTATTTCTGCCTTTGACAATGGCTATTTTTATCTAGAGAATGGCTACTTTTATCTGTTTTTGCCTACTAGGACCCTAATTAAGGGAGATCAATTTAACATCTTCTCCCTCCCCCCCCCCCCCCCCCCCCCCCCCCCCATCTAACACTGCTCATTCCTCAAACGGAAGCGCAGACACCCTGGGGAACCTTGGGGGCCTCCCCTGGTAACATCATTAAACAAGCAAACCAGAGCATCGAGCGGGCTGCTGGTCACCCTGGGGTTCGTTTAAATGCTTCCTCGGCCGCCCTGGGGCTACAGCTTTGTGCCAGATTTTGTCTCCGGGTCTCAAGTCTCGAGGACACCTTTCCTGATGGGACTCGACGAGTGGGAGCTCTTGCTGTCCAGGAGACGTTCCCTGCCCTCTGTCTCTGGGGTCCTTTCCTTGGGAAACACACAGGTGCTCACTGCCACCAGGAGCCGCCCCAGGCAGAGCATACTGAGGGAGGGGGAGGCGTGTGCCTCCACCCTCGGCGCCCTTCGTTCTCTGTGACTGAGGAAAGCATCGACTTACAGCTCTCTCCGACGAGCCACCTGTGTAGAGAGTCTAAAGGTGACCCGGCACCTGGTCGTAGACAAGAAAGCTGAGGAATGATGTCCTGGGCAAGAAGAGTGAGAGGCCCAGCAGGGGAGCTGCCTTTGACCCCCAAGAAACTCCCTGCTGGGAAGGGAGAAAACCCCAGTTGGAGGAGCGGGAGGCAGCACAGTCTCCAGTCTGGCCTGCTCTGCCGCGCGTCTGGGTTCATCTCACAGGCCAACTCAGGACGCACTTGTCTGGAAAATGTCCCGAAGATGCCTTCCTAGTTCCCCAGTGCCGGGCAGGAAGTACTTGCTTAGGAAGTGACTTTCACACGGCGTTTATTAGATAATGGGCCATTTAGGCTTATTTCACGTTAAAGCTTTTTTTCCCTTTGAACTGAATCACCAGTGACTTACTCTGTTCTGTTTCACGACTTGGTCTATGAGGTGACCAAAAGTTTTTATATCAGCCATATGTGACATATCTGTAGGATCTTCTCCTGACAAGTCATCATTTCCTGATGATTTCAGAAACCCCTATTTCTTGTCTCTGAGCCATAAATTCACCTTGGCCAGTCTGAGCCAACCTAACGAGCAACCAAAAGTTACTTTAGAAAAAAAAGCATTCAATGTATCTTATGGGGGGAGGCGGTGGCTAAAAATCCAGATTTCAGCATTGCATTTTCCTATTTGCTGTAACAGAATTTTATTTTAGATCATGGGGAAAAATAGAAATCTCAGAAGTGAGGAACCTTGAGCCTATCCTTCCTGACACAAAGGGTTTCTTTTCCTGGCTCCAGGCAGCATCTATACCTAATTTGGAGCCAGTGGGAAGAGTCATGTATGCAGAGACAGGACGCAAAAACCCATTAATGCCGTTCCACTGAGTCTTACGGACACGAGGGAACGGTTTTTGGCAAAACTTGGCTTCTAGAGCAACAGATGTGACTGGCAATTTTGGTGTTCATGCCTGCTTCCTTGGGACTGTGGGTACAGCCTGTCAGCTCTGGGTAAGGAAGCGAACCAATCAGGGAGACTCGAACCCTGTTTCTAAGACTTGTGGTGTGACTCTGGGCAAACCACGCCGTCCCTCTGTGCTCCAGTGGGGGGAATTCATACCTTCCATATGCTGAAACATGGTGTGAGTAAAGAGACTGTGCAGACACTGGGGACATGGACAGAAATTTAGAGAACATCAGCGCCGGTGGCACATTCCCAGGAAAACATACTCCCAAAGAACCCCCCAGTCATCGTTCTGATGGCCAAGCTCTCCAGAAACCGTGCCACGCAGAGGTGCTCAGGTGTGTGAACGAGAAGGTGTCAATTAGCGTGAGGACACGTCCTCCTTACCTGCTGAGGTCTGGGTGACAGTCTGTGCTGCCTGTAGCTGCATGATGTCAATCTGGTTGTTCATTTCCGAGTACTTGCTCTCTGCGTCTGTGAGCCGTGACTCCATGCGCTTGGTGCTGCTCTCCAGCTCCATCACCTGCATGACCACACTGACCCAGTCCCTCTCCTGCTTCGCGCTCAGTTCGCTCAGCAGACTGCTCAGATTGGCGATCTGGGCCCTGAGCCCCTCCGCCTCCGCACAGCACGCGGCCACCTTGAGTTGCGCGGGGGTCTTACGCTTCGGGGGCTTCTGTGGCCACGCCGGGTGGCTGACGAAAGCTGTGATGAGAATGCAGAGCCAGGTCAGAGCTGAGAGAGTCTTTTTCAGCATTTCGCGGGCCCGGGTGAGGAAGAGTCTTCCTTTGGGGGATCTGGCTCTGCCTGACTGAGGTCTGCAAAGCTGCAGCAAATCACAACCACGCACTTTCACTCTGGATGGGCTCACCACCCTGTTGCCGCCTCTCTTCCCTTGCTCTTTCTTAGCCTTTCTCAAAGCTTGAGGTTAAAAGTGCAGCTTCGTTGGGCTCCCTATACCTTTTCTTCCCAACCCCGAACGCTCTACAAACTCAGCATCTTAAATATTGTTTGCTGCCTGCATCTCCACCCCCACTGTGGTCGTGCCTGGTGATGTAGCCCCTCCCAGCTCGTCTGGGAGGGTCAGGTGCCTGTTGGGTGAAGTCAGCGCAAACTTAGGCCAGAGGGGAGGAGGGACGCAGGGGCGAGTCTTCCTTTCCTTGCCTGCACAGTCTCTGGGCTGAGACAAGAAGACTGAATTTGTGTTTCCAATTTCGCCTATTAGATTATGCCCCTGCCAGCCCCTGGCTCAGCTCTATCAGCGAGCAGGGCAGGGTCAGAAGAATTTCCAAATTCCATTCTACAGGTTACATAACCATGGGGTGAGCGTAAGGTAGGCAAAGAGAATTGGGAATAAGACTCCCTCCCACTCACCCAGGGAGGCCTGTTAATGTAATCCGTGCTGTTTATATGATGATCCGGTATATTTTTGGCACCCTACTGAGTGTGCTCTTAACAAGGCTGGTTATTCCTTTCTCTGATCATCACTCAGAGAATGATGTTTTCCAAAACCCTCATTCCACCTAGATCTGACACTGTCACAGTGGAAAATCTCCAACTTAGAAGAGCTCTAGAAATAGAGTAAGCATCTCAGGAAGCAAAAAAAAAAAAAAAAAAAGACTTCGTAGTTTGCATCCACAGGATTTGCTCAGTCTTTCTTTTTATGCACTTTCTTCTTCCACAAGTGGCCCCGTATTAGCTCCTCACACTTGTCATTTGACAAGGAGGTGTCGGAGAGGACGGCAGGGACGGAACCCCAGGAGTGCTGGACACGGCCCTGGTGTGGCCATGCACACGTGTGTCGGTCCGTAGGCACAACAGGGCACAGGCCCATCCTTGGCCCATGATTTGAAACTTGGAATGTATATTAAATCATAGCGAAGGGAATCTCCGTCCCCTAATAAATCCATATTGACAGTCTCATTTCCCTCTTCCCGTATCACACAGTTTGCGAATCTGAAGCTCTTCTCTATATATGATGTACATCCCTGAAAATAGGGATACTGTCACTTCTCATGTATTATATTTGAAGGGTGTTACTCCTTTGAAAACAAACGGGGAAAAACCTGGGATTTCAACAAACCTTAAATACTTAAAATGAGCTTTTCACTGAGAACATGTACAGAGGCCCCTCGGTCCTGAAGCGGTACTGACTCTGCCTCTGGAACATACTCTTTCTGCTTCCGTGTTACAGAGCCTCCGAGGCAGACCTTGTACTCTTGCCGGTCGGTGCGGGTCCTTCACGCAAGCCCGGTGCCTGACCAGCCCCCTTCCCTGCCATGGTCCCCGGAGCCCTTCAATACTTGGCACTTCTGGCTTCAGAAAGTCGTTTCTGTTCAGCAGCTAGAGTTACCAGACGGTATTTTTTTCTCCCCCTTTAAATGACAAAGCAGTCGTGGCTCAGGTAGCCCAGGGCTTGTGTTCTCCCCTCCCGAGTCTCCTTGCCTACCGAGGCGTGCGGGTGTGGCCAGCACCCCACAGCAACTTGCCGTTCCGCTCGGAAGAGCCAGTCCCTGCGCTCAGTTCGCAAGTACCCAGCCCAGCTGTCTCGGCCACACGGAGTTCATTTCACTAACACGAACGCAGCCCCCACCATCACCATCCAACGGCCCCCTGAACCCGGTGAGGATCCTCAAGTCCATCTCCCAGCCGTCAGCTGACACCGAGCCTGTGCCGCGTGCCGCTGAGGCACGTGGAGCGTCACGTGTGTCCCCGCCGTCTTGGCTCCCACCTGCAGCAGCGCAGTAGAGGAAGGAGCAGGGAACAGTGGGGCGTTAGGGACTCCCGGCCAGCTTTTTGTTTGTTCTTCCCAGTGGCCACTTCCCAGGCCCAAACAGGAAACCGTTATGAATAGAGTTTCATATCTGGGCAGAAAGTGAATCAGTCATTTGTATCCGCAGCCCATGTAGCAATCGCTTCTGGGGTTCATAGGTTTGGACCAGAAGCACCTAGCTGTTGGCATGAATGCCTGCTCTCTGACATTTATTTGCTGAAAACCTGTTTTTCTAACATGAGGGGTAAGCTGGAGACAGCTGCTTTCCTTATTTGAAGATTTTCTTAAATCACCCAAGCTGCCCGAATGTCAATAACCCCCCCAAATTTAAAAAAAAAAAAATATATATATATATAGCAAATTAAGAGCATTTCCCATGCCAGATCGATCCTGTAAACATTCACAGCCCTGCAGTGTCTTAGAGCCTAAATTTCTGAAAGACGGAAAAGTAAGCTCTTGTTTTGAGTACAGCTAAGCCGGTGGAGAAAACCAGGAAGAATGTGAAGGACGAGACAAGTTTTCCCTTCGGCAAGAGGCTTTTACCTTCTCTGCCCTTCAGTGGATAAAGTGACACTAAAAATGGGAATTAACTGAGAAAATGAGGAAAGCCTGTGTTGGACATCTTGCAGTTTTTCCTTTTCTCTATTTTGCTGGTGGTGAAAGAGGGTCAGCTCGGTGTTCCCGGGGAAGATGTTTATGAAAATCAAGTTTATACTCTTAATGAGAAAAGCCAGGGAGCTTTTACTTAGCCTGGAAGTTCTCAGAGACTTCACTGTCTGGGCTGCAACGCCTTGGGCTGGCGCCAAGAACTGGAAGCTTCCGAGCAGCCCGAGGATTACAGCGCTGGGGAGGGCCTAGAGGTGGGCTCCCTTCCACCCAAGCGGAGCATCACGTCCCATTGTCTCAAAAATGTCCCGATCGGAGAGCCTCCTCCTTTGCTAATATATTCCTGGCCTAGCTGCCCCTAAGCCATCACTGGCACAATTGGTGAGGGAAACCGCTCCCCTCAGAATCAGACTCTCAGTCTGTGGAAAGAGTACATCTCAGAAGAACCTGTCTTGTCATTTCAATAGTGTTTGTCATGGGGATATTTTACTTCTCCTAAAGTCTTTTAGTGAGTCACAGCTTTGCCTTACTGTATGCAGCCATTTAACACCTGATGCTTTTTTTTTTTTTTTTAAATGTTTATTTATTTTTGAGAGAGAGAGAGACAGCGCGCAAGTCGGGGTGGGGCAGAGAGAGAGGGAGACACGGAACCTGAAGCAGGCTCCAGGCTCTGAGCTGTCAGCACAGAGCCCGACACGGGGCTCGAACTTACATACTGTGAGATCGTGTCCTGAGCTGAAGCCAGATGCTTAACCGACTGAGCCACCCAGGTGCCCCAGTACCTGATCCTTCTGTCCATCAGTCCTGTTTCTGTCTCAGCTAAATGCCATCCATCACAGAAGGTACATCTGTCTCTCCCTAAGCCTCCTGACTTGCCACCTCTACCAGAGTGCATTCTGGACGTGTTAGAAATCGTTTCTCGGGCCTCCTTCTAGAATCTATTATTTCATGACAGCACCTAGCAAAAGAGCCTGTCTCTGCTCTCAGACTTTGTAGTAAACCTCTGCTCTGTTAGCCAGCGTGCAGGGCATTAGTTAACAATGCCGGCCCAGCCTCACCGTTCCGTTGCAGAGACAGCTAAGCTCTAGGACAGTGTGACATGCTAGGTCGGGGACACCAAGGAGGAGGAGTACCCAACCCAGATGTATTCTGGAAGGCCTCCCAAGGGGAGGGATACCCAGGTTTCACAGAGAAAGGAGGAGGTAGCCAGGGGTGGGAGGTGGGCACTGTGAGCACGGTGCAGCTTTTTGACCTTGGCTTAATAGGAAGACGTAAGTAGTTGAGTGTGGCCTAAGAGTCCGGGGCAAAGGACAGTTAAAGCAGAGAGGAGGTGTGGAGCCAGGCCTGAGGGCCCTGAGGAGTCCCTGTGAGGAGCCTGATTGCTACTCTGAAGCCAGACGAGCCTCTGGAAGGAATCTAGGCAGCTCTTACCTTTGTCGCTCTATTTTCCTGAGTCTCACCGGAAAAGGGGCTTTGCATACTTGCCCCACAAGATTTTTAACTGGAAACGGGTGGCATAGAACATCCGGATTTCTTGAAATTGTGATGCATTCATATTAAATGTCCTGAAGGGATCATCTGGCTTGAGGATTAAGGAGGCTGTATACAAAGGATTTGAAATAGTTGGGTCTAGAAATCAGACAAATTTGGGTTCTAATACCTTCTCGTCATTTGGTAGCTATATGACCCTGGGCAAATTATTTCTCTGGGTTTACACTTCTGTGCAGTGGCGATGTGAATCCTAACTACTTTACCTCACAGGACTTGGGGTTCAGTAAAGCAAAGGATTAAAAATAGTTAAGGCAGGGCGCCTGGGTGGCTCAGTTGGTTAAGGATCCGTCTTCAGGACATGATCTCCCCATTTGTGAGCTTGAGCCCCGCATCAGGCTCTCTGATATTAGCACAAAGCCCACATCAGATCCCTCTGTCTTACACTCTCTCTCTCAAAAATGAAATAAACATTAAAAAATAATAACAAAATAAAAATTAAAAACAGTTAAGGCATTTTTGGGTTGCCTTGGTGGCTCAGTCAGTTAGGCATCTGACCTCAGCTCAGGTCATGATCTCGTGTTCTGTGAGTTCAAGCCCCACATTGGGTTCTGTGCTGACAGCTCAGAGCCTGGAGCCTGCTTTAGATTCTGTGTCTCTGTCTCTCTCTGCCCCTCCCCTGCTCACACACACAATCTCTCTATCTCAAAAATAAATAAATGTTAAAAAAAATTGTTTTAAATGGTTAAGGCATTTTTGAATAAGATAAATAAATTTAGAGGAGCTAAACTATGAGAAATCAAGATTTATCATAAAGCTACTATTAGTGATTAAGGCAATATAGTGGTGGCACAAGGCTAAACCCATAGCTAAATGGAGCGGAATCAGAT